CCCCAAAACCCCAAAACCCCAAAACCCCGTGTATGAAAACAACGTTGGGAAATCATAATTAATAATTCCGTAAACAATAACCGAAAGCAACATGGAGACCTATGGTAGGAGTAAGAGTAAGACGAAGAGTAAGATGAAGACTAAGAGGGAGAGGAAGAGTAAGCTGAAGACTAAGAGGGAGAGTAAGCGTAAGCTGAAGACTAAGAGGGAGAGTAAGAATAAGGTGAAGAGTAAGATTAAGAGGGAGATTAAGAGGAAGAGTATGAGTAAGGGTAAGAGGAAGGGAAAAGTCAAGACCAAGACTCCCAAGATCAAAACTTTTGAATATAATAAAGAGGATAAGGACATCGGAGAAAATAAGGCTAAGATGGATCTCCAGGAGAATCCTCATATAAAGCTGGAGTATAAACCCCTGAAGAAGTACAGGAGTGGCTGCACCTACGAGGGCCAATGGAATAAAGTCACTGGCATGAAGCATGGAAAGGGCACTTATGTGTGGAAGGATGGGGGAGAGTACGAGGGAGACTGGAAGAATGATAAATGGCATGGTCACGGAACTTATACTTACCCAAGCGGAGACTCTTACGAAGGAGAATGGAAGAATGGTCAAAAACATGGAAAAGGAAAGCATACTTGGGCTGATGGAAAAGTGTATGAAGGAGACTATAAAACCGACCATGCTAATGGCTTTGGGACACTGTGGGAAACAAACGGAGACAAGTACGAGGGATTCTTTGCAAATGATAAAAGGAATGGGAAGGGAACCATGACTTACAATGATGAAAGAAAATTTGTGGGACTGTGGGAGAATGGAGAACAAAAAGAAGGACAGTTTGTGGAGAACGAAAAGAAGATAGAGAATATCGAAAAGGAAGCGGACAAGAAGGATGCAGTCACTCAAGGTCAGAAAACTCCAAAAATTTCGAAGAAGAAGAGAAAGAGTAAAACACCTAAAGTTGAAGATGAAGATGAAGATGAAGGAGGTATGGTATGTTGGGGATGGATTTGCTGCAAAAAAGAAAAAAAGGTAAGCAAATAATTGTAACTGCTGATTATAATGTTTTGCTTCAACACTGTAATTACAATACGGGGTTTTGGGGTTTTGGGGTTTTGGGG